ACTACTTTTCAGATATCTTTATATGTGACATTTTTTCCACCTGGAAGTTGTTGACATCTTTTTAGCCCCAGCACTTTGCAATATCATGGCTATTATGTTTGTGTTGGGCATACAGCTGCTAGATTAAATAGAGGATGCTCATTAAGTTTGGCTTTCAAGCAAACTATGAGCAATTTTTGCAGTATTTGGGATGTACTTTTACTAAAAAATTATTTGCTGTATTTATGTAAATTCATATTTAACTGGTGTCCTTTTTGTCTTGTTTTTGTTTTTGCTAAATCTGGGAACCCTGTAGAACTTGGGCTTTTCCATCTGGAGACTCAGTTTAGGGAAATTTTCATGTACTATTTTTTTCCTTTAAATTAAAATATTAGTATAAGCTTAAGAAGATAAAATATTTCAACAAGGCTTATAACCAAAAATAACACTCTCCAGCACCACCACCCCTTCATCCCTATGTTGCACTTCCCAGAAATGATCTGCTTCAATTCATTAGCTCTTCATTCTAGATTTGCCTCTGTGTTTCTTAATAATACATTTGCATTCCTCTTTTTCCCTTATTTTTTAAGTCTGGAATGAGGATTTCACTTTCTTACACCATCCACCATAAGTGTCCACAATATAGATACCCTCCCTTCTCAACCCTCTGTGGTATAAAAGCCATGATTAGATTGGTATTCACTCCTTTATTATGACTATAAATATTATTCCTTGTTGAGCCACATAGCATGCTGTGTTATAATTACATGTCCCTTCTTGTGCCACTTTTTGTTCTTCTCCAGAGTTATTAAATATCTTCTTTTTTCATTGCTTAGTTTTCTAAATAGCTGCCACTCTTTTATACCCAAAAGGAGAGTGGGCTTCAGTAAATTTCCGATGAGCAATGTTAATATCCACCTACCAGGCTATCTTTCACCTTCATGTCGATTGCCTGGGGCCCTCCACTCTACTCTTGTGTGGGCTATGCTCTCTGCATGCCTATTGTCCAAGGACACCTCTTCACTATTACAGGGATTCCCCTCGTCTCTGCTCTAGCAGTTTCCTGCTTGGATGCACATAGCATTTTAGGTTGAAACCACCTCCACTATCTTCTAGCTTCTACTGTTGCTTTTGGTAAAATCTGATGCCATCTTAATTCCTAAACTTCATGATGCTGTGCCTTGATACAGGTATATTTTGATCTGTTTTCATGGGTGTTCAGTGGGCACTCGTGGTCTGGAAGTGCCTGTTTTTCAGTTGTTGAACATTTTCCTGAGATATTTCTTTGATGATTTTCTTCCATTTTTTTTTTTGTCTGATCTCTTTTCTAGAATTCCTATTAACCAGATCTCCTGACTGGTTCTCAAATGTCCTTGTTCTAAGCAAATCACTCCTGTGTGACCTCTCTACTCTTAAACCACACTCACAGCATAAGGGGCCACAAAATGTGTGTTCGTGGTGGGGTTTCCCAAACCCAGCAGTTCTTAGGTTCTCTGAATACCAGATGAGTGTCTTACCCTGTCTACCTGGAGATAACATCAGGTCCCATAGGTTAAGGGTTCAATCCCACCAGATTGCTCCCTTCCCCACTTCAGAATCAATAGAAGTCCAGGTTAAGAAGCTGTGCTTCTTAAGACTGGCTATAAATTGGAGATTCATATAATCCTTTCTTTGGGTTCAATTCATTTAGTAGTGTGGCTCACAGAACTCAGGTAAATAGTTGAGTTACTAGATTATCAGTGTATTATAAGAGGATACACCGTGGGACAGCCAGATGGAAGAGATGAGCAGGGAAGGCTGGGGAAGAGGCACCCAACACCCAGCACCCCACCTGTTCACCAATCTGGGAGCGCTCTGAACTCCATCCTGCAGTTTTGTGGAGGCTTCATTACATAAGTATAATTGGTTAAATCATTGACCGTTGGTAACTGATTTCAACCTCTAGCCTCTCTCCTCTCCCCTGGAGGTCTGCGGGGAGGGCTATAGAGGGAGGGGGAGTTGGGACTGAAAGTTCCAACCTTCTAATTCTGGTTGGTTCCCTGACAGCCAGCCCCCATTTTCAGGGCTTTCCAAAAATCACCTCATTCACATAAACTTAGGTGTTATTCAAAGGGGCTTACTATGAATAACAAAAGACACCTATTTCACCTTTATGGCTCTGAAGCTATCAGGAACTTGAAAAAAAACAAATACAACAAAAGATGCCCTTACTGCTCTAAATCACTTAGGATATTAATGGGATTTGGGAGCTGTTAGCCAGGAACCATGGATGAAGACCAAATTATATGTTTCTTATTATAAATCACAATATTACACACATTCTTTCTTAATTCTTTTGTCATACTTTCTGGGATTTCCTCAACTTTATCTTCTAGACCTTCTGTTTAAGTTTTATTTTGACTATCATACTTCAAATTTCCTTATTTTCTTCTCCTTGGATGTTTCCTTCCTTATAGTATCTTCTTGTTTCATGGGTACAGTATTTATTTATCTCAGGATTTCCAGTATTTTTGAAGTTTCTCTTTCTTGCTTCTGGCATTTTCTGTGTCCTCTGAGTTTCAGTCTTCCATCTCTTTTGACCTGAGGCTTTCCTTAGATGTTTGTATTTTGAGGGTATCTTCATATTCAAGAGTGAAGTGCCAAAGTGAATTGGAAGCTTGTTGAGTAGTGAGCTCAATGCAGGTCAATGAGGCTGTGAGCAAGCCATCTTCTTGGCAACCTCCAGGTATCAATGTCTGTAGGCATTTTCTCTTGGAATCCTTTGGTGTCTGCAGGAAAGAATTCTCCAGTTGCTTGCCTGGTATTATTCTGGGAGTAGAGCAGGGTACTGGAAGGGGGCAGACTCTCCCTGTATTCAGCAGGTGAACACTCATGTCCCAGGTAGCCCCCCCTTTTCCATATGCATCACCCCTGCCTTACTTGTTGCCAGGTGACCTTTTTGGTTGAGTTTATTTGCAACTTCCCCTTTTTTGATGGGGTGGCAGATGGGTAGGCGTTTGGCTTGGTAGGACAAGGGGGGAGACTTGGAAGTACATGTGTAACTATAACCAAATTAGCTCTGACCCTCGACCTTGCCTTTATGGTACCAGTGCCCCCAACTCCTGAGCCTCCACAGTCCCCCTGGGGGTGAATCCTCATATGTCATTGGCCCCTCAGCTGCAGGCACTCAGGTTCCAAATCTCCAAATTGCTCCTAAGTCCAGTGTTGTTCCTTCAGTAATTTCTGTCATCTACAAATTGTCTTTTAACTGTATTTCATCCACTATCCTGACTTATTTGTCTTTGTAACTTTACCTTGCTGCCCTTAAAATTTCCCCTTAGTGTTACTAAGATTTCAGGAGGAAGCAAAAAAAAAAAACTTATGTTTTTCATTAGCCACTTTTAACTCCAGGTCAGATGGACTTTCCTAATGATGTTTTCTTTGGGCTGACTGTGAAAAGTACGGTGAACTCTCTGAGAACCATGAGAAGCTGTAGGTGGAGCCATAAGGGCAGCCTTGGGGTCAAGCCTATGGTGTGTAGTCTACATTCACGTCAGGAGAACTGAGCCTAATGTGGCCCGTGGCTTTTGGAAGTCGTATCCCAACACCTGACACAACCCCAGCATTGAGTGCAGACGTGTTTGTACCTCTTCTCAGTCATGAGTGTGTGAGAAGAGCCATCAGCTTCCTGCTCACCTCCCTTTGAAACAACAAAAAGCTGCAGTTTCACCTTTTGCTAAAGTATTATCTTTCATTTGATGACTCCTGGAGTTCCACAAAGAGACAAAGGTCTTTCTTCATTGTGAACCACTTTGCAGAAGTTATCCCAACAGATGGAGCCACTGGGAAGCACCTGAGTGATGTTCTTGTGCATCTGATGCTACGTGGCGAGCGGCACTGAGCCAGTAGGCAACCTGCTGCCCAGAACACCAGGCCCATGGTCTGCTCTGGGCTCACATTCGTGCTTTAGTAAAATTACAAGTTACTCCACACTGTGGACCTTTGGGCTTGCTCCCAAATAACTGAAATTACAAAAATTAAGTCTTTTCATTCTGCAGGAGGTACTGCATGGGCTCAACAATATCTACTGGCATTTCTGTATGTCTTTACCTTTTTGAGAGCAGTTTCATGACCATCGGGTCCTTGAGGCAGCACTGAAGAGCTTGGGGCACACCTCATCGTGTCATCCTTGTTTCGTACATGCAGAAACAGAGAGTCGCAAGGGACTGATGGCTGGTTCGGCGAACCCTGGGCTGCTCGGGAAGTCAGAGAGACATGGCCTCATGTTGGGGGAAAAAGCAAGGGTCCTCACTTTCTTTGCACAGGCCTGGCACAGAGGACTGTGGGCCCCAAATCTTACATATTGTCCAATAGAAAACAATGACGTTTAATGTCGTGTGGGACAGATGTCAAGGTAGCAGGAAACCAGGGGAAAGAGAAAGCAGCCATACTGGGATGGTCAGAGCATCTGTGAAGGGGTTGGGGTTGGGCCAAGCCTGGAGGATGGTGGGCCTGAGGAATGGGGGAGGGAGAAACCAAAGTATCTCTGGGTGCAGCAAGGGAGGAGCCAAGCTGTGGCGAGACCTCCATGCAGGGAGGAAAATGTCTGGTGTGTGCTGAGGGTCAGAGATGGGCCCCAAGACCCAAGGTGGACGGGAAGGGCCAGGGCTCCCGCTGAGCAGATTGTCTGATGCTTCATCTCACTGCAGGTCAAGTGAATTGCTTAGACTTGACTCTTGGAGGACTTAGGGGCCATTAAAGGTGGAGAGTCAATGACCCGGAATATAATGACAACTTCTGCAGGTCTGGCTTCCAGTTGCATGTGCTTATTGGTGCTGATGAGCCTCAGGGGTGCTTGTAGGGGTGGGAGGTGTCTGAGCAAACCAGAGATCCCAGAAACATGGGCGGTGGGTGGAGACCACCAGGTGCCAGAGGAGCTGAGGAAAGAGGCTGTGAGCTGCTCTGTGTTTTTGGAGCTATTCCTCATGCAGCTCAGCCCCCTTCACTAACTACACTTCCTTTGTTCTGATCCTCCCTGGCAGGGAAAAGGCTGGCACAGTGGTCCAAGCAAGGAGACCTACACATACATTTCTGATAGCGGCTGGACAGAGAGGGTCCAGACCCTCAACTTCTCAGGAGGACGACACCCCTCCCGTGGCCTCCCACAAGAAGTGACCAGACTAGTAAAAGCTGAGACTGGAACCACGGGCTTTAAAGATGGGGCCTAGGATGTTGGAGTGAGGCTGTGGGGGAAGGTGAAAGCCGATGGTGTGGGGAGGTCAGGGGCCAAGAGATGCCAGAAGGCGCATGGCTGTGCTACAGACCCACCCAGGGAAGGGTGGCCGAAAGGACTAAGAAATAAATACCTGGCAAATCGCAGAGGCTGTGTGTTTTGCCGTGTGGAAACGTCAATAGCTAAGAGGAGCAGGAAGTCAAGCAGTCATGACAGAAGGCGGTTATCCAGTGCACTCCGCTTCCCAGCACCACCCGCAGATCACCGGAAGAGTAGCGTGTTTACCGTCTGCAGCCCTGGACAGCGGGGTTCTTGCGGGAGCTAGACACTAAGTGTGGTCTAGGCGTTCAAGCCTCCTCCTAAGTGGCACCTGGAAAGGATGCTGGAGAGAGGGGACTGGGCGAGCAGGAGGAGCTTCCCAGAAGGAGCCTGCTGTCCTCTCCTGAGGACAGGCCAGGAGTGGAGAGCTGTCAACGCCAAGAGCAACGTGCGTCCCACACTACTAGAAAGAAGCCCCTCCCGCGCCTGGGAGGCCTGCCCACAGCGTTACCAGGGCCCCGGGAGAGCCACGGGGGTGAAGCTCTGATGACATTCACCCACAGGCATGTATGGACGAGAGGCAGGCGACGCCTAGACCACGGTTAGTGTCTAGCTCCCTCACCCCAGCATGTTTTCCTCTTGGTGACAATGCACATGGGGCTGATTTTCTTGCATCGCATTTACTGTGCTAGTTATGTGGGCCTGGGTTTGCTGTTTGCTTCTGAGCAACTCCCATGTATGTTCTGAGTGCTGGGGCTTTGGTGACGGGGTTGCGTTACGGCTGCAGAAGTCTCGGCAGCAGGACTGTTTTCTTAGCCACGTGCCCGACAGAACCGTTCCTCATGCAATGTCTGGCGAGTGAGTGAGGTCACGAATGAATGAAGTGTCTGCTCTGGTGACTGCGTACAGTTAAAACACTTATATCCAAACCTTCAGCTCACACACTGTTCACCACAAGTGAGGTGTTGGCCAGCGGTGTGCACATGCACACACACGCGTACGCACACACACACTCACACACACACACATGCGCACACACTCTTGTCTCTCCCAGGCTTCTCTCCTTACTAACGAAGCCAATAACTGTCATCTCCTGTGAAGGTCTGTTTCCCAAGTGGTGCTCTCATTCGTTTGTGCCCTCGTTCAACAAGGGCCCACCCCTACTGTGCACTGGGCCCAGAAATAAGGCTGACGAGAAGCCATGCCCTTATGAAGGTTGGGTTCTGGGGGTAGGGTGGGGGTGGGGGCTGGGAGCCGGCAGGGAACTGGTACAATAAACAACTAAAATACATTGTGAAATATATCTATGAAATACAGTGGAGGTCGGTGGGTGAAGAGCAGCTTAAATGGGGGAGGCAGGGAAAGCCTGCCTGGAAGGCAGTGGTTAAGTGAAGAGCAGAGGAGGTCAGGGAGTGAATTCTGCCCGTAGCTGGGGGGCATCATTCCAGTTGGTGGGAGCATCAAGTGCAAAGACCGGGGTGGGGGCATCCCTGGTATGTTCTAGGGGCAGCGAGGAGACCTGCGTGGCTGGAGGGCAGGTGAGCAAGCTGGAGAGGAGCGGGAGGCGAGGCCTGGGGTGGCTGGGCGGCCGAGGGTGGGGCCCACCAGGCAGGGAGTTTCCTGTTCTCTGAGTCAAAGGGGAAGCCGTTCTTCCAGGATTCTGAGCAGAGAGGTGGTGTGACTGTCGTACAGTCGAACGGAATTGCCACTTAGGAGGAGGCTTGAACGCTGTACGTAACAGCAGGAGGCGGTTTGGGCTGGGGTGCCCGCAGCTGGGATGGTGAGATGTGGGCAGGATCTGGATAGTGAGGGAGAGCCAACTGGGGGACTTGGATATGGGGGTGGGATGCAGCTGCAAGGGTGATTCCAAGACCGTGTGGTGAGGGCTGCGACAGACAGAAAGGCCCGGAGGCTGGAGGACCCTTTCTGCTGCTGCTGGAGGCCCGGGGTCCCCAGGAAGCTGGGCTGCGGGCTGACGTCCTGCAGTTGAGCAGCCTGTGCTCCTCCCATTTCAGTGGGCCCGGCAGAGGGTGAGTCCGCCTCCCCGCCCCACCTCATTCTCCAGGAGGAGCCAGCGGGAGAGCGGCAACTGATGTCACCCTGCCCCAGATGGTCCTGATGCACTTCGCATGTCGTCAGGAGGGCTGCATCTGAGCTTCCCTGATTCATGGTCAGGCTCTCACCATACCCCCTCTCCACATCTGCACCCCAATTTTACTCACTGTCCTCCGCACGTTCCTCACGCTCCCCACTCAGCCTGGAGCAGAGCAAGCCTGCATCTCAGCCAAGTGACAGTACACAGAGCAAGTGCCCAGACACATCCCCGTAATGGTGGGCCAGGGCATTGGGTCCTGATTGGCCGCAGAGCGGTCAGAGATGGCCTTCCAGGAAGTTCTCTCCACTCAGCCCATTCTTGGGCACATTGGGGTCATGACTGTCACTGGCTCCAGGGGTAAATGGCAGGCAGAGAGTTGTCACATCTCCGTGGAAACCAAACCATAATGGGCAGCAGACGACCCAAACGCCCTGAGCACAGGCAGTGGGGCAGGAAACGGTGGGGTGCCTTCAGTGCACCAGCAGAGCCCCAGATCCCCCTGAGAAGGGGAGAGAAATCAGTGGGGGGCTGAGAACACATCTACCGCAGCTCCTGGGGATGGTCCATGAGGCCTCGCGCAGAGCAGACGGAGTGCAGGAGGCTGTGGGCCGGGGGCCTGCTCGCAGGCAGCCCACAGATGGTCCCTGTGCTCGGCCCTCTGCCCCTGGGGAACACCCGCTCTGGGGCGAGCACTGCCTCTACCTTGAGGGAGCAGAGGGCTGACTTTCTCTTGGGTGCCTCAGGCTAGTGTCAGGTCTCTGCTCCTTGAGCTCAGCTGGGCTGGCTGGAGACCGGGGATCTCACGGGCTGCAGAAGGGGCCGAAGTGTGTGGCAGCCCCAGCGTGAGGGAGTGGGGAGAGTTTTGGGCAGAGAGTCTGGAGACTAGGAGCCAGCCTTGGCTCTGCCACTCAACTCACCATGGGACGCACGCCTAGACTTCTCACCTCTTCAGTCCCGAGTCCTCTGTTTCATGTGGGAAGTGGAAAATTGGATCGAAGGATCTCCAGTATCTCTTTCCATTTAGGAATTCTGAGATCTTTAACTCCATCATATGTATTATCTATTCCAATGACAAAAAAATGTGTGGTTTTTTTTCCCCACACCATCAAGTTCTCGAACACCAGCGAGGTCCTGTAATTCAGCTCAGTTTTGACACTGCCTACCCACAGATGGCCTCAGATCCCCCAGGTGAAGGGCTCAGTCCCACAGGACCGCCTGCCCCTCCCCCACTTCATGTGCCAATTGCAAGTTCAGGTTATTGTGTGCTCCTGACTGACAGTTCTGATGATACCTCCTTGGGTCTGGTTAACTTGCTAGAGTGGATTACAGAACTCAGAGAGATATTCTACTTACTGGATTACTGATTTGTTATAAAAGGATACAGTAGCCAGATAGAAGAGCAGCATTAGGGCAAGATATGGGGAAGGGACACGGAGCTTCCATGCCCTCGCCCAGCACCCCAGTCTCCCCAGATCTCCGTGTGTTCACCAACCTGGAAGCTCTCTGAACTCCATCCTTTAGGGTTTTTATGGAGGCTTCATTCCATAGGCCATTGGCCATTGGTGAATGATTTGACCTCCATTCCCTCCTCCTCCCCAGGGAGGAAGGGCAAGGACAGAAAGTTCCCATCTTCTATTCCCATGGTTGGTTCTCTGGGACACAGACGGCAGCCTTGGGTGCATTCCAGAATGTGCCTCATTAACATAACAAAAGACACCTTGATCACTTTCAGCACTTAAGAAACTCCAAGAATTTTAGGAACTCTGCGCCAGAAACAGGGTGAAGACCAAATATTTTTCATTATGAATCACACATCACAACATGGATGATAGGCAACCTGATTTCCAGGTACATGATGGAAAATGAAAAACCCTGTTCTCTGGTTGATTCCATACTTATTAAGCATATTTATTCAGTGGCAGGCAGGCAGTTATAATAACCAGGCTGTTATTACAATTATTCTGGTACCTGTGCAAAAATGGTAGGTTTATGGATTGTCTGTGACACAGGTGTGTTGTGAGGATTAAACGAGTTAATATATAAGCAGCGTGCCTAGAACTGTGCCTGGCCTGCAGTAAGCATATGTGAGTGCTAAGCTTCGTTATTATCATCTCTACTATGGGATGGGCCACAGAGACCTGCTTTGCCTGCTAAGGAAGAATGGAATCCTCAGGCTCATTTTCACAGGGGTCCAAAGTCCAGCCCACAGCCGGGACTGAACACTTGGCCTGGAGTCTGGCTCTGTGGACCACAGAGGAGGATCCTTTATCTCCCAGCTCAGTCTCAGAACACAAAGCCCACCTGGGTAAGATGCATCAGATGGTTGTTGGAGAGCACGGTGCAGTGATGGTCCTGAAGGCTTGGTGGCTGTTGGGCTCCCTCTGTGCACGAGATGTCGTGAGCAATGCTGTGGCTTCCTCCTGCATGAGCAATAGGCTGTGAGCTCATCATTGAGTCATAGGGTTTTAGAGCATCTCAGAGATGACAGATCAGCTGGTTGACCTGCATGCCTCTGTCCTCAGCATATGGAGGGAAACCAGCTCCAGAGTCCTGTTCACAGAGTGGCAGGGGCTGCAGGCTTCCTGTGTAGAGGTTAGAGTTCCTGGTCCTCCCAGTCCAGCTTGTTCCTGACCCTGAGGTCTACAGCTGGAGATAAAGAGTGCTTGTCCTTGCAGCCACAGTCTCTCATGCTGGAGGTGATAAGAAACAAAATGAAACAGCTCCCTTCAAAAACCGTTCACAATGCTTGAGATGATTAGTGGGAGAATCTTTGGGCCACACTGATGCATCTCCATCCCAGGCAGGCACCTTCTCCCCTGAAGACTCAGAACCACTTGCCATGCCTGACAACTCCACTAGAGGGAGCCACCACTACCTGTATTTTTCCCACAGATTTGATGGGAAACAGGACTGCCTTTAGTGTGCATGGAACCTCCTGGTTGGAAGCACTCTTGAGGCAGCTCCTAAGTCATTCCCTGGGATCTGTGCATGACCAGCCAGACCTGCAGCATGAATGCACTCAGGGCTGGGAGTCTGCACTGCCCTTCCTGGAAGCTGTTGGGTTCTCTTCCCCAGGAGTACTGATGTGGCTGGATGTCCAGTGGGCTGGGTGATGACCTGTCCCCCTTGCCCATGCATGGGCGTGAGTTGGTGCTATGTTCACTAGTAAACACTGCTGCTCAGAGCTCCTGGGCAGACGTCAGGGTAGGTGAAACTTCAAGGATCCCTGATCCCCTGGCTTGTGAAGTTAAGTGGACAATTCGAGAGGCCCATGCCTGTGGGATGTCCTCAACCTCCTGGAAGAGGCAACAGAGCAATGGGAAGCAGCAGGAAATTACCCTGGAAGCTGCACAGAGGCCTGGCATCCTGGACACTTCTGCCCAGTTTGCTCTCTGTGGAGGGAAATTATCTGTAGGGAGTAGGAGATGACATAGCAAGATCAGGCGTCCTTTGGAAAAATGATTTTCCAGTAAAAATACCACTTGGTCAAATACCACTTGGTTTTCTGGAATCTCACCAAGTTAAGAATCAGGCTGTATTATCTAGAACTCTGACCTGGTAATTGGATCTGGAGTTGGACAGGCAGGTGGGTGACCTTATGTACAACCTCTCTCTTCTAAGCAAAGTCTTTAACTCTGGGCCTCAGTTTCCTCCTCCATCAAGCAGGGCATAGATTTCGATGATTTTTAAGATCCCCTGCAATAATAGACAGTGTACATTCAGTGTGTCCTCCTGCATGGGGCTCGTCTGTCACCAACTCTCTGCTTTCTGCAATTTGAGGCATGTTAAAAGTTTCCATCCCCTATAGAAGCATCTTTTACAAATATCAGTAAAAGTAAAATTAATTAGATTGGCTTCCACTTAGCTCATCAAAATGATTCTGAGCCCTTCGGTGCTAAGGGGGTCACCAGTAATTTATGCATTTCATAGCACGAGGCTGGGAAAGTCCAAAGGCTGGGCTAAAGCTTACATGTCCTGTGTCAACAATGATGTGGTTACCGTCTGGTTTCTTGTTGGGTCCTGGTTACTTTTAATGGCCCGGTGCCAGCCTGGGGCTTGGTGAGGTTGCCTCACACCCCGGTGACAAGGTCCACATTGCTCTT